AAGAAAAAAAATTACCGCTGTATCTCTTTTGTTGACTTGTCTTTTGTACGCTTGCTCTATGTAGATGTTTAGAGTGACTTGGCTGAACAAAATCATCGTGTCGAGGAGTAGATTTTCGGGACTACACTTGCTTTCGCCTTGGTTTTGTGATTCGGCATTGTTGAAAGTGTAGTGAGTGTCTTCGTTGGTGCTGAATGTTCCATCAAAGTTTCAAGTGGCATGATGTAAGGTGTGTAGTGCGCCTTGTGTTTGACGTTTCGGTGTCGGTCTATTGTTGCCAAGGACGTTGTGATTGTGGTTGGTTTGAGGCTGTGGTGTGACATTGTAGTATCTATCGCCTGCTGAGCCGTTCTCCGTGTTCATCTCTAGGTGCTCAGGAAGCTATCGGTAAAGATTTTGTAATTGCGTGTAGAAAAAATTGTTAGAACAACTCAAATTCACCTTTTTTTTCCCAAAAATACCGTAGTCAATAGCTTGCGCCTGACTTCGCATTCCTTCATGTGCAGTAGTTGCCTCCGTCTGTCTGAATCTACTTAGAAGATCAAAAAACCTCAAAGTTTTGTAGTTCTCGTGTCTTTGCCGTCTCTAGTTGCCAGATCCCTTTTCTTTGTGTTTCACGGAGGTGTTAGGGTTGATCGTTCACTCATTTTTTGTTCAATCAAAAACTATTTAAGTGATCAAGTAATATGATGAAAGAATCATATGTATCACACAAATTTTGAATTGAAATTTTAAACTCTACAAATTATTTGATAAATGTTTTTGTTATAGTGTGATTAATTACATGACATTTATTGAATTGAGATATGGATGAACTTTGAGCATTTCATTTTTTGGATGTAAATATTTTACTTCTAGATTGAATTAAAATATATTCAATGTGTGATGTACTTCCCAAAAGTATGATATCTTTTTATATCAAAATGAAGTGAAAACATTTATTTCTAAATTGATTAGTAGAGATGTTTTGTGTGATAAAATCTATATTGTTGGACAAAAGTTAGACGCTAAAGTTGTTCAAAATTAGAAGAATTTTTTTTTATAAAATAATATTGAAAGTCAAATCAATTATGTTAAATTTCATAACACACAAGAAGTTGTTTGTTTCCAAAAGCAAGCTTTTGATATTGAATAAATTTAAGAAAATAAGATAACTCACCAACTTCAACACATACAAGCATCAAACAAAATCATTAAGGAAGCGGCTAGTTATACCTTAGTTTAGGCTAATTATTCCTCACTCTACTATATTTGGGTGAGATATAATTAGCCAAGTCATCCAAATGATCAACAAGTTCTCTTTTGGGACCGAACCAAGTTTGTATGAGAACTACGGGAGAAGAGGTATTGGAAATCTTGACAATCTAGATCAACGAAGGTTTGAGTTTTATGTGACATAATGTTGTCAAATACTTCGATGAAAGTTACAGATATGATGTAAAGCTTTGGTTCAGACTTGCTGAAGGTTCAAAAAATGTCCTCCATCCAAACAAAAATTGACACAGAGTCCTCATCAATGTTCTTTATAACGTCATATTAGAGAGTCAAAGTAGCCTGGAGAACCCAAGTAAAGACTTGAGTCGGTTTTGGAAGAGTCCGATCCAAACATTGTCCAACCCAAGTGGTTGAACTTGTATGACTACTATGATGACTTGTTTAATTATCTTTCAACCTAATACAGTAGACTCTACTGTATTAGGTTGAAATACTGAGTAGAGTGAGGAATAACTAACCGCTGCCATCATTAATCAAAGCTTTTTTCTAAATATTATATTCACGTTCATAAATAATTTGGTTGATGGATTGATTTAACTTAATTAGAAGATGATATATTTTTTGATGATATGGATTTGATCTTTGAAAGAGAATTTTTTTTAAATACGGAAACGTTTACGATGTATTGAAATAACATAAATAAGTGCAACAATGCAAATGAAGATGCAATCATTAAAATATTATAATACTTCAGACATAGTAAAATTTCAATTTAAGAATAATTATAAATATCTCATGGAAAATAAATATATATTAAGAGTAAAAAATAAACATATTGATGAAGTGCAAAAGATTTAACAAATCAAGTTGATGGCCAAAAGATTCACATCATACAAAAGTTGTGAATTACAATGAAATCCACTAGTCAATTGTTTTGTATGATACTATATGTTTGTTAAGGGTAATTGAAACTTTTTTTTGTTTTTATCTTAGATCAAATGGATGTTTTTACTATTTCATTTTATGATTATTTGGATGATTTTATCTTCATGACAACGTATGATCTTTAAGAAAATAGTGTGTAGGTTGCTAAAATTTATGTGGATTGAAGCAAAATCTTTGAGAATAGAAAAAATTAATTTGATGATTTTATGAAATTGCAATTATTCAAACAAATTATTTTTGATAATTATGTATACATGAAAAATATAGATAAATAAATTTTTAACTTTAATATTCTAAATTTTCATGTCAAAAATATGCTTATTATAGCTAAACACAAATCTAATATTAATAAGCTCAAATCTGTGTTGATTTTTAGATTTTAAATGAACAATTTTGCTATGAGATGCTATGTGCTGTAAAAATTCAAGACAAATATGGTAGAATTATATTTGTAAGTTTAAAAAATACAAGTTTATGAATATTGGTTTAGGTGAATACTAGTCACTTCAAATTTTCATCAACTTTTTGTTCTACAAATGATATGAAATAAGTTTGATGTCCAAGCTTTTTTAAATAATAAGGAAGCTCAAATTTTTTTGTTCCTAATGATTTGCACTTAGTCTAACATTGCTCTCGCTGTAGTCAAGACAATAAGATACATATTTATTGTAAAAATAATACATTGCATGACTGTGAAATGAATTTAAAGATATTTTAAGCATGCGTTGGAGTTTAATTTTGTGTTTGATGCACTATTGTTCAAAGCGAAATCATTGAGTGGCTATGTGAATTTTGACTATAAAATTTAATTGGCTCAAAGAAAATCTATCCTTCAATATATGTTTCAAGTTGGAGATGTATGCATAAATTAAAAATCAACTAGAAATCCTAAACAAACAATATTCAAAAAATGTTTTGTCCAGTTCATTACAAAAGCTCTGTATGTACCGGCAAAGGAGTCAATTTGGATGGATAGATTCGTCACTAAGATGGAATTAATTTATGACAGTGTGAATATTCAATGTGATGATGAACACTAGAAAATATGCTTTCTTAGATATACTTTGTCTGATAGAATGATGAAGCTAATCAAGAATAACAATAAACTATACCTTGCTAAAGCCTTCATCAAAAAAAATTTATTACAAAGTTTTTTAAGACATTTTCTCACATTGCAGTTTTTACATATGGGTACAAGTAGAACACACGAGCAACTATGCTATCTTTGTGAATGATTTTATTAACCATGTTTGGACTATGCTTTAATACTAGTTAACTCTTGTTTACAAAGTAATATATGAAAGTAATCCTTATAGAAATTCTTGAAGTGTCATCCTATCAGTTATGGATTTTATAGTCCTCAATACATAAATCATGGAGGAGATTATTATGAGTTAATATCTGTTTTGGTTCACTCTAGTTAATTTTAGTATAGTTAATCAATCTAGTAACCTACCGCTATATTAGAGAACTTATAGTAACTCTCAATGTCATAAGTAAGAATTTATCAGTATAGTGATTTTGTGTTCATGTGAAAACAGCTCAACTGGTGAGCCACATATTCCTTTGATTTGTTTCTAAATCAATGTGTGTGTTTGCGTTGTGAATGTTTGCACGGTATCGTGGAACACCGACACAAAGTATTTTCTAACATGAGCTTTGTTAAGTGTGAGATTGGAATGGACACATTGTATTGAGAACACCCATCTATCACTTATGTCAATCTATGGATCATCAAATTGACATAGGTTGTTGTGAAATTTAGTAACAATGAAACTAACACTATATGCTACCACCCGCATCACAGGACTTGCCCCCTTCTCAAATTCTTATGCCAACTGTCTGAACACATATAGTTTGTAAGGTACACATGCAAAAAGCCATAGAAATAGAAGGAATGGATGAGGAAATTGGTAACTGTCAGGTTTGAACGTACCTCTTACTAATACACTTACGGTCCAATGCTCAATCACCACGCCTCTCTATATGCGGCAATGGGGCTCTCAAGTTGCGTATTTGCTGTACTTTGTCTTCAAAAAGTTCCGTATTTCCAACAATCAAGTCTTTGTCTTTACTAGAGAAACTAACAGAGTCACTCAACTAAAATGTTGAGGTAACAATTTGTGAAAATGTCTTTGTGGATCTCTGTGGCTGTACTAGAGAAACTAAGAGAGTTACTTAACGAAAACTTTCCTGTGACAATTGATGAAGTTCTAATATTTTGCCTCTTTGTTTACTTCAAGAACTTGTAGGTTTGAAAACAAAAGAACTTGTTCAACTAATTCTAAAATATTGATCTTCTCAAATTTTCTTGTAAACAAAAGTATTTAGATTAAATAGTGAAAGAACACAAATCTCTTTTCGTTGAACAAAAATATGTTGACTGAAGGGCCTGATTTGAGGTATTAACAATAGATTTACTCGACTCATCGAGTTTTTTTGAGTGTAAAAGTGCTGAAACGTAAAAAAGATATTCACATATCAAAATAATATCATCTCTCTCTCGAAGGTGTATTACACTGCCGGCAAATTCGGCCCCAATGATAAGAGATTTTGTCAAGTTTTGAGAATTATCCTTATTCCGTGGAGATACGGAACATAGGGAATCCGTCCTAGAGAGGCCTGGTTACAAGTTGTGGTTGTCGAAGAGTGGAACAGTCAACATGAGAATCACATGGCATTTTCTCGGACTGTGAGCTAGGGGTCGAAGCTGGAAATTAAAGCGGTTCTACCAGAGGTATGACGGGGCAAATGTCTATTGGATTGAATTTTGTTTGTAGCGAAGGCATCTGTTCATCAAAGGTCCTCGGGGAAGAAAGTGCACATGAGTGCGTCTTCCCATCCATGTCTTCCTCGTTGCATTGGGTTTCCTTTCTGTTGTGGGGTTCAGAATGTACGATGACTATTATGACGGTGACCTTTGATTGCAGGGGCAGGAGTCCGTCTGAAGTCCTGTGGAACAAATCTCGAGAACATGGTCCTGGAAATCGCGACGCTGGATTCGTCAATCTTTCGGACCCGCAGTCTGCGTCCGGTCGTCGTGGTCACTTTTTAGGCGACGTTTCTCATTCCAGGTGATCGTGGTCGATCTCGGAGAGGCAGAGTGAGCTCAATCGGGCTCGCACTGGAGTTGACAGACAGGCCGAAGTCGAAGTCTACGATTGTTCCCTGGAGCTACGCTCATCCGGAGCTGCGAAATTCCATTGACCGGTGTTGAAGGAAGCGGAAATGGTGCCTCTGAGATGGGGAGCAGTGGCGGCACTTGTGCTGCTGGTGTCGATCTCCGTGGTGAAGGCCAGCGATCCGAATGGAGAGGTAGAGTCGATGACTTACTTTGTGCACTGCACGGATGAAGTCAATATCGTCGCAGGGCCCGGCAAGGATGGTCGAGATCTGACCAAGTTGGCATTTGGGAGCACTTTGGTGTTCGACAATGATGTGACCGTAGGACCTGAACGGGACTCGAAGCTCGTGGGCAGAAGGCAGGGAATGGCTGTCATGGACAACTTCGCCGGGACGAATTATTACCTTCTGTTTACCGTCATTTTTGAACATCACGAGAAATACCAGGGATCGCTGCAAGTGCAAGGAACGGAGATTGGCAGTGGAGCTCGAGAAATCACAGTCGTCGGAGGTACAGGAGACTTCAGAGGTGCTCGCGGCTACTCCACCTTCCACTTGTATACCAGTGATCCCTACCCCATCATCCAACAGGACTTCGTCATTTACAAGAGCAGCTTCAACTACAAACCGTCTGCTGACAGCTCAGACATGTAAGTTAGACGAGAATCTCCGACAGTCCTAGAGAATCGATATCGAAGGAGTCAATCTTCTGTCGCGCCGCTTCTGATGAATGCAGTGAAGTTTTTGTTGGATATGGACCCCGTTATCTTTTCGTGCCTCCGTTAAATCAGTCGAGCGTTTGCTCTTCTAGTCACTTGAGTCACACCTGCACGAAGTAATACACGGTTTTCATGACTGCACCAAATAAGGAATAGAGATGTACTTGCTGGCTTCCAGTCTTACCGTAAACGAAGCTTCTAAGATGTGACTTTCCCTTCCTGTGAGTAGAACAAAGACTCTGATCATGTTTCGTGCCGGATGTTTTGTTTCGTCTGGAGTCTTTCGACTATATCTGCCTACAGAATCTAAATGCATATCATCGATATTTTCGGGTCCTGGACGCTTGTGAGATAGTGAACCTTTAGAGAAAAGCATCGAGTAAGTCTTCTGCATCGAGGGGAGAACATGCATCATTTAGAGGCATGTCTGTCGTGTAGCTCATTAGTTGAAACGAAGAGAAAGAATGATTCTCCTGATCATGTATCTGTCGAGATTGGTATTTGGGGCAGTAGGAATGAAAGTTCTCCAGGAGTTTTAGAGGCATGTCTCACGTTTAGCTCATTCGTTTAGTTGAAGAAACATTACGTTTCTCCTGCTCCTGTATCTTTTGAGATTGGTAGTTGGGTCACCAGGAATGAAAGTTTAACAGAGTGTATCTCCAAGCAGGAAGATAGATCCTTTTTTCTCCTGTTGTGTATGATGCCCTTTGAAATCAAATTCTCGCTGGTTTTCAGGTTTAACTTAGTCAAATGTGCCATATCCATACAAACTACTCTATCACAAACTACTGTAGTCATCGATGCAGCAACTGGCATTCGTTACGGTCCTACGAAAAATGCACACGGTGGTCTCTTTTCTCGACGTCTAGCTCTTCGAATTGATTGGAAGTCCTATTTGAGGAGAATAATGAAGAGAATAACGAACACCTAGAATGTCATCGATCAAGTCCTTCTGCTACCTCGGGCGCTGTGCGGCACACGCAAATCCTGTGAAGTATGTCTGCAATCTGGACCATTGTTCACATTGCCCCCGCGAAGATTCTCGATGGTTCTCGTTCTCTCTCGACTTCACACCACAGACGATCAAGTATGTCACCTGCGAAGAATCCGAGCACGCGGGAATACGAACTTTTGAGAAGAATAAGCGCTGAATATAACTTGACCATGTCTTCCCGTTGAATGACCCAAGTTTTGAGAAAATGACTCGATGAGAACCATCGACGGCCCTGGAACCCCACCGTGAGTGATGTTCCAATACTATCTAGTGTTATTTCGAGTAGAACATGAAGTCACGGGAAGAACATATCCGGAGTAATTCAGACTTTTTCTTAGACATGTGCACAACCTTTTCTTAGACATGGCTGCGAACTAGTTGCCATGTGCACGACCTTTTCTTAGACATGGCTGCGAACTAGTTGCCAAATGCTCTGGCCCGACAGTGGCGGACACTACCCACTCTACTGCCATCGAATGGTCCCATAGGGTAAAACGAAACCTGATGAGTCCCTTCAAGACGATTCGGATTGAGTTTCCAAGGTCAGATCAAGTAGTTTCATCCCTAACGTAAAACTTAGGGATGAACTTAGTTCTGTTAGCCCTTCAAAACTTAAGTTTTGAAGGGCTAACAGAAGAAAATAGAAACTGAAAGCCTTCGTCACCGAACATTAATACCCGAGAGTCTCCTGTCAAAATCTTATCGCTAATACCCCGTCTACAAGGTATGTAGCGTGTGCTGAAAATAGATATTCAATGTAGTCTTAACTCGGATTGATACTTAGTACGTTAACCTCCCAGTTGATTGATACTTAGTACCTTAACCTCCATTAACATTACTATGTATGATGTTTTCTGCAAAAAAAACATCCCCCAGATTTTTTTAATTTGGCACAAGTTTTGAAGGTTTTTGCTTTCAAAGTTACAAATCGTACCTTACTATAAAATGATAGAATCAGCTGTATAAAATTATCAAATTTATTCCTTTATATATATGAAATTTATACTTTATATCAATAATTTTCATATAATACAATTCAAATCATTTTTCTTATATCATTTTGATACCAATTTTAATAAAAATCACGAAAATTCATAATCATGAATTGAGAATGTTTAAAAAACATACAAACATAAAATTAAGAAGTAAATAAAAGATAAAAGAAATAGTTGAAAGACGTTCACGAGTAATAATCCGAGAATGATTCATCATCCTGGGATTACGTACACATGAACATTGAGGTATTTACTTAATAACCTAAAAAGTGTTTTGGTATCAAATATTGCAAGATATTGTGTATAACTCTGGTGGTTTGAAATTAAACAGAGTATTGAAAGCCGGATCTTTTAGTTCGCCAAAGAACGGTTGCACTCATGTCTCAAAGCATTGCATCGTAAATTTGGAAAATATTGCTACTGCCTTGATATTATATCCATGACCTCTACTGGCATTTTCTTGAAAAATCCTTGTGCCATAGATGTATCTTGATTTGAGGAAACTTAAATTTGGTATAATTAGGATTCATACACTTAATCTCCTCACTAAAGGATGCTCAAAAGAGCTTGATAATCTCCACAAGTTGATCAACATTGCTTTCTCTTTTAAAAGAAAGGCCATCCCAACATCAGCTAGGCCATTACACAATAGCCATTGACCACAGGTAAATGGCTATTGTGTACTTTGTGACGCTGAAAAATAACTAAGGACACCATAGTATTGAAAACATATATACAAAATATTGGATTTCATTTTGAGCGCTACTTTAGCATTTTCAAAATCACGCAACTTTAGCTAATGAATCTGAGAATTGAACAAAAGTGACAAGTTTGATCATAACAATGATAAGGAGATTGAGACGACTATGGTAGATAGATTTAATACTAAGACTAATCACGTAATCGCCACGATCATAGATGGCCGCAACACATCATAAGCTACTCCATATGCAAATGTATTCTCGATCATTCTAACATTGTGGCATGAAAATATTGCAATAAGATAATCAAACATGAAAAAATATAAGAAATATTTTTATTTCAATTGATAAAACTAATTTTTCCAACAAGGAAAAAAAATCAATGAAAGCAATACATTGTAGATTTTCAAAGTTGTAGAGCTTAAGCTTATGGGTGTAGACAAGGGCGGAGCCATGATTTCTCAGGAGTGGGTGCAGCTTGCTAGGTAGCGCCGCAGGCGAAATTTTTTTTGGCTTATTCTGTTACAGAACTATGTTAAACCGAAACTCCAATGTAGACAATTCAAAAAAGTAGATCCAAACTGGAAAGATACCAAATTTTCTATAAATCCAACTGCATTTTGTTAAATCTAAAACTACTGTAACTCATAACAAAAAATTCAAAAAAGTAGAGCCGAATTTGTTAAAAATACCGAATTGTGTGTATTAATAAAACTTCACTTTGTTACAAGCAAAACTCCTTCATTCATGTCAGAGAAATCAAAATAGAAAGTCCAAACTGAAAAATCCAAATTCAAAATATCAATCTAGCTGCATTGTGTTAAACTAAAACTCCTGTCACTCATGTCAGAAAATTCAAACGGTAAAATATGTGATTTCAATGTATTAATCCAACTACACTGTGTTAAAACTAAAACTCATGTAACTCATGGCGGAGAATTCAAAACAGAAAATCCATCCTGTAAAAATCCAAATTCAATGTATTAATCCAACTGCACTGTGTTAAAACTAAAACTCCTGTCATTCATGAGAGAGAATTCAAAGCCAAAAATCCAAACTGTAAAAAATCCAAATTTTAATGTATTTATCCAACTGCAAACGTCTAGTGCTCAGCGCCTGAAATTTCTCGATAATAACGCCGGTGGTGATTCCTTGTGCTAACTCTCTTTCAACAAACAAACTAATAGCGTCAGCAAGGTATTCATCTTCCATTTTGTTCCTCAACCGCATTTTCACAAACTTCAATGCTGAGAACGCACGTTCGGTTGACGCAATGCTGACAGTTAAAGTTAAAACCAAATTGATAAGTCAAAAAACAAGATGATAAGTAATAGACTTCTTGAGTCTAAACATCTATATAGCTAAAGTAGAAAGAGATTGAATTTCAAAAAAGCTTCGCTTGACCTCAACTATATGCAGAATTATAGAATCTGTTGTTCTATCATCACCAAATCATATTGTTCAAATTCATGTGGATACAACCACCCAACTCAACTAGCTCTGAGACATTTCCATGAATGCGAAGGTGATCTGGACATAAATAGTCAATCTGTGTGAGCAATGCAGACAAACATTGAGGAAAACGATCATCAAGCTCACTTCACATTGAGGAAAACGATCATCAAGCTCACTTAACTTTGAATCTACGATGTTGAAGAAGATCTCCACGCAATAATAATGATCAAAGGTTATGCTGTCACCATTGCGACGAGTACGTCCCATAAGCATATAACTTGATTCCATATTAGAAGTAGCGATGTTTTTTTGCGAGACAAAAAGATTGAACCGCTTCATATATCGTCTTCCATCATTCTTCTGATCTCATTTCCTTCAATTCATACTTTGAAACAACAACAAGGTCCATGGCGTTGAGGATGTCCTGATCCTTACGCTGTAAAGCTTCCAAAAGAACTGCACATTTGCTTAAAACCGCCTTCATAATGTGTAATATTAGAATAAAGTCAAATCAACAATCGCTTGCAACAATCTTGACGCTTTTGTTTTTGAATCTATTACAGTTCCATTTTCCACAATAATTTCAAGAACTTTGACAACCTAATCATACAAATCAAGCACTTGACAAATAGAAACAAAATGAGTATCCCATGTTGTATCTCATGGCCGCCGGAGTGATTGCTCTTGATTTAATCCGCGACCAATTTTCATTTCTTTGCCAACAATTGCATTATGGATGTTAGCTGCGTGCAATACTCAAAACTGATACGCACGTTTACAAGAAGCGCCTACTATGACACATAATGATGACAATTCAACAAAGAACCGGCAAACTTTGATATGATTCTTGGCTGCTGATATCAAAGCAAGTTGAAATCGGTGTGCAAAACAATGAACATAGTATGATGAGGGTACTTTTCTTTTGATGATAATCTTCAACCTGTTAATGTCTCCACGCATATTAGATGTTCCATCATATTTTTGTCCTCGTACAGGAGATAACGAAAGAGCGTGTTGGTTCAAAGTGGAAACAATGGCAGCCATTAGAGATTCTGAACGTGTATTAGCAACATGGATCATATCCAAAAAACTCTCTTGAATTACTCCAAAACTGTTGACAAACCTTAGAAGCAAAGACATTTGCTCCTTTGTAAATTCATCTCGAGCCTCATTAATCAACAAACAAAAAAACTATCAATGATTTGCTTCACAATAGGTTCTCTTTCACATTAAGCCATGGCCCTTAGTATGTCTTTCTGGGTGTCTGAAATGTCATTGTTGCATTCTTCGGTGCACGATCGAGTCAAACACGTTGATAATCTGCAAAATGCCGATTGAGAAGAGTTAGAAGCGTAAGAAAATTTCCACAATTGAATGATTCTTTAGACTCGTTGTGATCACAAAAAACAAGATCTTGATGAGCCAGAAATCGCATTGTCTCTATAGATGCTGGCAATCGAAGTCTGTGATCAGCTTTTTGTTGTTGAAATTGAAATCAATTGAAATCACATTAGATCGTAAATGATTGACGATCTAATGTGATTTCAATTGAAAAGCGCTGGTTTGGAAATGACTTTCAAGCAATGAAGTGCAA